TTATTCACAAATGTCTTATGTACATCAGTACAGCGTGATACAGATGGCTAGCACAGGTGCAATGAGACAGGGACCGTGTACGACCTAATGCGATAAAGGCAGTTACAGGGGGGCAAGCTTAAGAGTGAGAGTTTTGTGGTGCTGAGAAGAAAAAGAGACACCCATTTTCGATTTTCTATGTATTATTTAAGCATTTTTTACTTACGACCATTTCGACTTCCGACCTGGATTTGGGTCCCTAACCCCGTCGTAAGTCGGGGAGTAGCTGTATAACAAAGAAATTCACTGAAATTATAAAATTTATTTCGTGCGGATTCTTGGTGGTAGCTACAAGGTGGTTGGGGGGCGGCTCACCTCCCCAGCTGCCACCACAACAATGGTGCTGCTCATTTCAAATTCTTTCCCCAGTTTGTGTTCAATTATGCATCTGTGTTACTGTGTACCCTTATTGAGGATGATTGGTAAAAGACCTTCAAGTGAAAGCAGTGGTATAAAAGATTCCATGAAGGAATTACATGGACTATAAACTTGATGTTTTAAGGAGGTAACTCCCGGTAACTCTCATCGCACCACCTCGCCACGCCACCTCTTGTGGCACTCAACATCGTTTCTGGTGAGTTAAATTCAAGTGTGCATCTATTGTCATGTTACATCATGAATGAATCATTGCATATGTTTAAAACTGTTAATATTCATTCATATATGTACTTTTTGGGCCTGCCAAAAATTTCCATAAGAATGCATCTCAACTTATATAATGGGAAAATGGTTTCACGATATGGAATTTCATGGTGTTGAAATATTTTCTGCAAAAGAACCCTTCCATAACCTGGGGGATGCCCGTATGTAACTCTGGTGCTTTCAGTATATCAGAACTTGTAATATACACGAGTAAATCAATGTAAACAATTTACACCTCTGTGCCGGGTTTTAACCGATGCTACCTCGGTCAGTGGACCGACTACCAACCATGGTGGCCCCGGCTCAAAGCTGCCGCCCAGAGGTGTAAATTTTTTACATATACTGTAATCACAGGCTGGTAGTTATTTGGTGTTTTATTTCTGAGATGTGCTCATTCTTCTTACAGGGAAAGAGTACAGTTCTTGGCATAAACATAGAAAGGTGTTTAAGAGACCAGTGAGAAATGGTGCTTATTAGAGTTATAGTGACAACAGTTGTTTCTAAATGACAGTGTCACTAGAGACTGTCGGCTTCACCCACCACACTATTAACAAGATCACATACCCTTAAAAATAGCAGGCAGTACACTTATTTATTCAAGGTGAAGTATAGGAAAAAGTTAGGACTGCAAAATAACTATTACAACCCACTGAAGCTTTAATGTAGGGATTTGAATCTTGACCATAATGGAATGTCTTATTTAAGCCAGTTGTGACAAAAGATCAACCTAATACAGTATTTTGGCTTGAGAAACTTGTTATATATAAAGGTCATCAAGCGTAGTTGTCTTTAATGGAAAACAGTGCAGTTGTGTATGGAGTGCAGATGAGGTATTTATAGGTGGTAATGGATAACTATGTCTAGCCTTTCTTGGGGATAGTACGGGACCTTCTTCATTAGACATTTGGACGACCCAACTTACGGTTAAAAAAAAAACAATCTTGGAGACAATCAATGCACTTGTAAGTGCCAAGAGTAATCTCACAGTCTGTATTCTCTGAGAGATTGGGATGTGACACAAGTTGCCCTATTTTTGTACAGTAGTACACTGTACTAGTGTCCATTATTGTTGTTGAGGAATGGCCCGAGTTAAAAACCAGTATTATTGGGTAAAAGGACTGATACCAGTCTTTGTATTATTTGGTAACTTCCATAATACATAAAAACAGTTGTTAGAAACAAGTCAAATGCTGTATTAAGTCATCTTCAGCTAGAAGCTAAGCTTTTTTTATAGGAGAAAGAAGACTGTGTACCCTTCCACCTTGATGATACACACTGGCTCACATTGATGGCCAAGAGATTTTTTCTAAAACAGCTTTATAGTGAGAAGCTGTTTAAAAGCTATAAATCCTGCCAATGTGGCAGTAATGGCAAAAATATAATACTGTATATAACTTACTGTACTTAACAATTTGCCTGCCCCAAGTGTGTAATATTACAATGAACCCTTGAAGATCCGGACTAGAAGAGGGGACCAGCTGTCCGAAAAAGCCAATTGTCTGTTGTTTCCGGCAAATGTGTTGAATGTATAAAAATGATGAATAATGATATAAAAAACCCACCCAAAATACAGTACAGTACTGTACCATATTTTACGACATATAAGACCCCTATTTTAACGGAGTATTTCAGAAAAAAGGTGCGTATTTTCCTCTTGTAGCCATAGTGTTCTTAAAATAATATATACAATACCAGGAAATGTGAGGAATAAATAAAACTAATACCAATATATAAGTTACAACAAAAAATACTGTTTTGGCAAATCAGTAAATAAAAAAAGCCAAATGAAGGTTTAACACAGTTGCCATTTGCATACACTCCCCTTTCACCATAGTAACGGAGACAGCTGGGACGCCAATTCCTTAGCAACGCTGCCCACCCCTACACTGTGCGCTCTCCTGCTCCCTCACTCAGCCAGGATGGTGTGTACGTAACTGAGTAAAAATAAATGAAGAAAGTTATGTTTGTCTACCAGAAAATACTACGAGTTGAAAAACAACCATAACACCTGACAGCTTGGCCCAGGAGCCTGGTGGTTATAGTGGTGAGTTTAACCTGGCAACAATGCCATTATTAATCACTATTAAGCACTATTATATCAGTAAACACTAATAATAACAGTTCATCCAGTTTAATATGGCAGAGAGGGGGAGAGTTAAGTGTACACAACTCTCAACTAGCAGTCACTCGCTCCCCTTACCTGCACCCGTTGCCAGGTTTACGATAGAAATACATATGGGAGGAATACATATCTTGTAGTCCAATTTGAAAACGGTGACGGGCACAGTGATAAATTATATAAACCATGAATTTACGTACGTTAACATAGTAAGAAACATTGTATCATTACTAGAGTAAATGAAATAATGTTCCCACAAACAACAATTGACAACTCTATTTATGTTTCACGCCTGCTCAGCCACCTGTGCCCCGCATGCTGACATCTTAGTTACATGGGCCTAAGATGATCTTTGCTCTGTTTTGGGAATGCAGGGAGGCTTCTTAGCCCCAGAAACCCCCAAATTTTGTCCGAATCTTCCAAAATCCATATTACTCGGGTCCAAATCTTCGAGGGTTCACTGTACGTACTTGTGGTGACCTGTCATGTACTGGTCAGTTTACTCGTCCCACAAGTGAGTGGTTCCTAGACAGGGTGAAGTTTTATGCCACTTGCTTCCATCTATCCACCAGAAATTGAGAATACAGTACAGTATAGATGTTGATTAACTGCATGCCAGGGTAATGGCTAGCCAGTGCACTTGGTGGGTTGACCTCTGTTCCTGGGTTATTCCTTGACACTGGGTCAAACAGCTTGGTAACTTTGGGTGTGGTTTTGTGTTGACAACAACTGCTACACCTTAAAGAAATTCATGTCTAGGTGGCTTCAGGACTGGCCAGCCTCAAACTCGAGGTGCAACCATTACTACAGTACAGTTCACCTTAATGCATAAATGAACTAATCTCATTGTTCTTGCAAAGAGAAATACTTAAACTCCCTTACCTGGGTCTGTCAAATGGGATTTTCATTAGTATTTAGCTAAAAAGAAGAGATTAAAAAAGTACTACAGGTACTCCCTGCTTAAATTTGACCTATTTAACATTGTTTGCAATAAACTTATGACAAATCACTGCCCAAATTTGTTACGTTGCATAATATTTTGCCATAACGTCGTTGTTGTGGTATGTGGGGAGTACCCAGCGATGCTCCTGCCCAGCCAGTGATCCCTTTATATTTATCGTTTATATTGTGGATCCCTTTCCTCACGTAACTTTTGGTCTCTTTTATTATGCCTACCCATACATAATGTCTCCCAAACATGCTGCAAGTAACAGTGCAGTGCCTAGAGTCAAGAAAACAAGGAGAACCATTAGTTTGGTTGTTAAATTGGTCATCTTACGTCAGTTTGATGCCCGGGAAAGAGTGGTGGACATCTGTGTTGCTCTGGGGCTCACTCCAACGACTGTGAGGGCCATTCATGGTAATGCTGAGAAGATTAGGTCTAGTGCTGTGTGTGTTACATCTGTAAGTGAGTATTAAATTGTTTGTTTCCACTTCTTTTAAATGTGTAGATGTATAGAAATGTCTTATGGGAAATATTGATCCGTATAAAGTTGTTTAATAAATTCTTATGGGAAGTATTGATCCGTATAAAGTTGTTTAATAAATTCTTATGGCAAATATTGATCCGTATGAAGTTGTTTAATAAATTCTTATGGCAAATATTGATCCGTATGAAGTTGTTTAATAAATTCTTATGGGAAATATTGATCCGTATAAAGTTGTTTAAAAATTCTTATGGGAAATATTGATCCGCATGAAGTTGTTTCATAAATTCTTATGGGAAATATTGATCCGTATAAAGTTGTTTAATTTAAACACATTTTCTAGAAACGTATCACCGATGTTAAGCAGGGGAGTACCTGTAGTTATTATGCCACATTCCACAATTTATAGAGCAGAAACCCCCAGGCGAGAAGAGTAGCTCATTCCAGGGCATTTGTTTATGTACAACTTGGTGGAGACTACAATACCGCATCAACCTTGCCTGGCACAGGATTGAACCCATATCTCATGGGTTGGGATTCCAGAGTGATACCAACTGAGCCATGGATGTTTATGTGGTATTATGAAAACAAGTGTAAACGGGAATTATTGTTATGATTGCAATCCAAAATCTTGAACACTCATTGGTTATTTGTTGACTTGTGGGCCTCAGGAGGTTATGGTTTCACTAATTGAATTGGGCCCATAAATTTGGAACTGAGTTGTGTAATGTGTTTGTATTATTGCAGATACCTTTTGCAATGTGTCTTTTCAGATTGTATCACCACACAATGACTTGCCTCCCCATACAACCCCATGAGCTGGATGAGGACAGTGAAGGAGAACATGATTCTGAATGGGTTCGTCAGAAAACGCAAATGATGATTGATGAGTTCTCGGACGTAAATGAAGGAGAGAAGGAACTAATGAAAATGTGGAATTTACACGTGATGAAATATAAGTACGTTGCCAAGTTTACCATGTTAGTTAATTTAAATACAGACTTAAAAATGATTTTTAGTATAACACTTAATTTTCCTGGTGTTTATATATCTATATATATATATATATATATATATATATATATATATATATATATATATATATATATATATATATATATATATATATATATATATATATATATATATATATATATATATATATATAGATATATATATATATATATATATATAGATATATATATATATATATAGATATATAGATAGATATATTTTATTATTTGTGTGTGTATTTATATTTTATATTTTTATAACCATTCTTGGGATTGAAATGTTAAAACATGTATTACTTGCCAAAAAGTATATAACGTTGAGTTATCTGTGTGGCTGCTGACACTGGCGGTAGTGTGGCTGCTGACACTGGCGGCGATAGTGTGGCTGCTGACACTGACGGTAGTGTGGCTGCTGACACTGGCCGGTAGTGTGTGCTGACACTGGCGGTAGTGTGGCTGCTGACACTGGCGATAGTGTGGCTGCGACACTGGCGGTGGTGTGGCTGCTGACACTGGCGGTAGTGTGGCTGCGACACTGGCGTGGTGTGGCTGCTGCGCACACGTGTGGCTCGGCGGTAGTGTGGCTGCTGACACTGGCGTAGTGTGGCTGCTGACTGGCGGTAGTGTGTGCTGACACTGACGAGTGGCTGCTGACACGCTGGCGGGCTGTGACACTGGCGGTGGTGTGGCTGCTGACACTGGCGATAGTGTGTGCTGACACTGGCGGTGGTGGCTGCTGACACTGGCGGTAGTGTGCGCTGCTACACTGGCGATGTGGCTGCTGACACTGGCGGTGGTGTGGCTGCTGACACTGGCGTAGTGTGGCTGCTGACACTGGTAGTGTGGCTGATGACAGGCGGTAGTGTGGCTGCTGACACTGGCGGTAGTGTGGCTGCTGACACTGGCGGTGGTGGCTGCTGACACTGGCGGTAAGGTGGCTGCTGACACTGGCGATGAGTGTGGCTGCTGACACTGGCGGTAGTGTGGCTGCTGACACTGACGGTAGTGTGGCTGCTGCTGACGGTAGTGTGGCTGCTGCTTGCCCCAATGAATGTGGCTGCTGACACTGTGAGTGGTTGGCTGCTGACACTGGCGGTAGTGTGGCTGCTGACACCCAGAGTGTGGCTGCTGACACTGACGGTAAGTATTGACGGCACGTGATGAGTGTGGCTGCTGACACCTGCCGGTAGTGTGGCTGCTGACACTGCCGGTAGTGTGGCTGCGGCACTGGCGGTGAATGTGTGCTGACACCCCAGCGGTAGTGTGGCTGCTGACACTGCGGTGATGTGGCTGCTGACACTGGCGGTAGTGTGGCTGCTGACACTGGTCAGTGTGGCTGCTGACCTGGTCAGTGTGGCTTGCTGCTGAGGTCGGTGGCTGCTGACCCTGAGGGTAGATGTGGCTGCTGACACCTAGCGGTAGTGTGTTGCTGCAAACAGCGGTGGCAATGTGGCTGCTGACACTGAGGGTAAGTGTGGCTGCTGACACTGGAGTTCAGTGGCTGCTGACACAGGTCAGTGTGGCTGCTGACACTGAGGTAGTGTGGCTGCTGACACTGAGGTCAGTGTGGCTTGACCGGAGTCAGTGTGGCTGCTGACACTGAGGGGTATGACTGTGGCACGCCCAGGGTAGTGTGGCTGCTGACACGATGTTGGTGTGGTTGCTGACATTGAGGTCAATGTGGCTGCTGACACGAAGGTGGCTGCGCTGGCACTGTGAGGCAGTGTGGCCTGACACACCTGAGTGGTTGGTGGCTGGAACACTGTGGGGTAGTGTGGTGGCTGGACGCTGTGAGGGGTAGTGTGTTAGCTGACACACTGAGGTGATGTGTGGCTGGAACACTGTGAGGTAGTGTGGTAGCTGGAACACTGTGAGGGTAGTGTGGTAGCTGAACACTGTGAGTGAGTGTGGTAGCTGGGTAGCAGGGTGGTAGTAGCTGGAACACTGTGAGGGTAGTGTGTGGTAGCTGGAACACTGTGAGGTGGTGTGGTAGCTGGAACACTGTGAGGTAGTGTGGTAGCTGGAACACTGTGAGGGTAGTGTGGTAGCTGGAACACTGTGAGGTGGTAGTGTGGTAGCTGGAACACTGTGAGGTAGTGTGGTGGCTGGAACACTGTGAGGGTAGTGTGGTAGCTGGAACACTGTGAGGGTGGTGGTGGCTAGACACTGTGAGGGTAGTGTGGTAGCTGGAACACTGGGGTAGTGTGGTGGCTGGAACACTGTGAGGGTAGTGTGTGCACAGAACGGAACACTGTGTGGGTAGTGTGGTGGCTGACACACTGTGACAGTGTGTGGCACCTGTGAGGTGGTGTGGTAGCTGCACTGTGGGGGTAGTGTGGTGCTGGAACACTGTGGGTAGTGTGTGGCTGGAACACTGTGAGGTGGTGTGGTAGCTGACACACTGTGAGGTAGTGTGGTAGCGGAACACTGTGAGTGGTGTGGTAGCTGGAACACTGTGAGGTAGTGTGTTGTGGAACACTGTGAGGTAGTGTGGTAGCTGACACACTGTGAGGGTGATGTGGTAGCAGACACACTGTGAGGAAAGTGTGGTGTGACACACTGTGAGGTGGTGTGTGTGACACTGTGGGAGTAGTGTGGTGACACTGTGGTAGTGTGTGAGAACAGAGTGTGTGTGCTGGAACATGTGAGGTGGTGTGACACACTGTGAGGTAGTGGTAGCTGGAACATTGTGAGGAGTAGTGTGGTAGCTGTGTGAGGTAGTGTGGTAGCTGGACACTGTGGGGGTGTGGTAGCTGGGACACTGTGAGGTAGTGTGGTGTGGGAACACTGTGAAGTGGTGTGTGCTGGAACACTGTGAGGGTAGTGTGGTAGCTGGAACACTGTGGTGGTGGTAGCTGGAACACTGTGAGGAGTGTGGTGTGACACACTGTAGTAGTGTGGTAGCTGGAACACTGTGAGGTAGTGTGGTGGCTGGAACACTGTGGGGGTAGTGTGGTGGCTGGAACACTGTGAGGGTAGTGTGGTAGCTGAACCTGTGAGGGGTAGTGTGTTAGCTGACACACTGTGAGGGTAGTGTGGTGTGACACACTTGGTGATGTGGTGGCTGGAACACTGTGAGGTAGTGTGGTAGCTGGAACACTGTGAGGTGGTGGTGTGGAACACTGTGAGGTGGTGTGGTAGCTGGAACACTGTGAGCATGGTGTGTGCTGGAACACTGTAGAGGTAGTGTGGTAGCTGGATCCTGTGAGGGTAGTGTGTGGCTGGAACACTGTGAGGGTAGTGTTAATGCAGACACACTGTGAGGTAGTGTGTGGTGGCGGAACACTGTGAGGGTAGTGTAGCTGAACACTGTGGAGAGTGTGGTAGCAGACACTGTGAGGGTAGTGTGGTGGCGGACCTGTGAGGGTAGTGTGGTGTGGAACACTGTGAGAGTGTGGTAGCTGACACACTGTGAGGTGGTGTGGTAGCTGGAACATTGTGAGGGTAGTGTGTGGCTGGAACACTGTGAGGGTAGTGTGTGCTGGATCACTGTGAGTGTGTGGTGGCTGGGACACTGTGAGGGTAGTGTGGTGGACACACTGTGAGGTAGTGTGGTAGCGAACACTGTGAGGGGAGTGGCAGCCGGAACGGGGAGTGTAGCGAACACTGTGAGGGTAGTGCACAACACTGTGGAGGTAGTGGTAGCCGAACACTGTGAGGCAGTGTGGTAGCTGGATCACTGTGAGGTAGTGTGTGCATGACACACTGTGAGGTAGTGGTAGCTGGATCACTGTGAGGTGTGCAGAAGGGAACACTGTGAGGTAGTGTAGCGACACACTGTGAGGGTAGTGTGGTAGCTGAACACTGTGAGGTAGTGGTAGCGACACTGTGAGGTAGTGTGGTAGCTGGAACACTGTGAGGGTAGTGTGGTAGCAACACTGTGGTAGTGTGGAAGCTGACAACATCAGTAGGGTAGTGGTAGCTGACACACTGTGAGGGCAGTGTGGCTGTAACCACTGTGAGGTAGTAGCTGGAACACTGTGAGGTAGTGGTAGCTGGAACGAGGGTAGTGTGGTAGCTGGAACACCAGGAGGTAGTGGTAGCTGGAACACTGTGAGGAGTGTAGCTGGGAACACTGTGAGTAGTGAGTAGCGACACGGTGAGGGTAGTGGTAGCTGAACACTGTGAGGGTAGTGTGGTAGCTGGGACACTGTGAGGGTAGTGTGGTAGCTGGAACACTGTGAGGGTAGTGTGGTAGCTGGAACACTGTGAGGTAGTGTGGTAGCTGGAACACTGTGAGGGTAGTGTGGCAGCTGACACACTGTGAGGGCATGAAGGAACACTGTGAGGTATGTGGTAGCTGACACTGTGAGGCAGTGTGGTATGGAACACTGTGAGGTAGTGTGGTAGCTGGAACACTGTGAGGGTAGGTGGTAGCTGGAACACTGTGAGGGTGGAATGAACACAGTGAGCTGACACACTGTCAGGTAGTGTGGTAGCTGGAACACTGTGAGGGTAGTGTAACTGACACACTGTGAGGGTAGTGTGGTAGCTGACACACTGTGAGGTAGTGTGGTAGCTGGAACACTGTGAGGTAGTGTGGCAGCTGACACACTGTGAGGTAGTGTGGCATGAACACTGTGAGGGTAGTGTGGTAGCTGACACACTGTGAGGGTAGTGTGGTAGCGACTGACACTGTGAGGGTAGTGTGGTAGCTGGAACACTGTGAGGGTAGTGTGTGGTAGCTGACACACTGTGAGGTAGTGTAGCGAAACACTGTGGAGGTAGTGGCAGCGACACACTGTGAGGTAGTGTGGTAGCTGGAACACTGTGAGGGTAGTGTAGCTGACACACTGTGAGGGTAGTGTGGCATGACACACTGTGAGGGTAGTGTGGTGAAGCTGAAACACTGTGAGGGGTAGTGTGGTAGCGACACACTGTGAGGTAGTGTGGAAGGGAACACTGTGAGGGTAGTGTAGCTGAACACTGTGAGGGTAGTGGTAGCTGGAACACTGTGAGGGTAGTGTGGTAGCTGAAACACTGTGAGGGTGTGGTAGCTGACACACTGTGAGGTAGTGTGGTAGCTGACACACTGTGAGGGTAGTGTGGTAGCTGAACACACTGTGAGGGTAGTGTGGTAGCTGAACACTGTGAGGGTAGTGTGTGGCTGACACACAGAGGGTAGTGTGGTAGCTGACACTGTGAGGAGGGACTACACTGTGAGGTAGTGTGCTGGAACACGGGGTAGTGGAGCTGACAACGTAGAGGTGGAGGACACACTGTGAGGGTAGTGTGGTAGCTGGAACACTGTGAGGGTAGTGTGGTAGCTGAACACTGTGAGGGTAGTGGTAGCTGGAACACTGTGAGGGTAGTGTGGTAGCTGGAACACTGTGAGGGTAGATTGTGATACATCATTGACAATATGCCAGATGTTTCCCAACCCAACTATTCAAACCAACAAATACCAACAATACATATAAGTAAAACTTTGATAAATCGGATTTCAATATATCGGAATTATATTTTCTTGCTTTGCAATGCTCTGGTCACCAGAGATACTAAAAAAAAAGTTAAGATATGTGGAAGATTAATAAAAAATTTATCATAGGAACGACACTTACTGAATACTGTACAGTGGTCTAATGAGACTTGCTACAGGCCTACTGAGATTTAAGACACTTGAGTATGTAACAGGCCGGCTGATAGGTGTTGTCACATTCATCAGGTCTATTTATTTAGTGATTCAGTATTATATTCTCCTATGATTGGACTCTTATGGTTCATCATGATTAATATAACATCTTCAGTTATAGAGAAAAATTACAATACTGTATGTAATTTGTAGTATGACTTAAAAATAAAAGGATAAGCTGTATCAGAAGGTTGTTTACCCAAGGTGCATTTGTAATGCGAGCTTTATGCAGACCAGCTTACAACAGGGGTCACTAAAACACACTGTATAGTATTTGATATGAAGAAACCTTCCTATTACTAACTGTGAGTGTTATATGATGACTCAATTTGATACTTGCTAACTTAGACAAATGATTAATGAATAAACCAGAGTATATGCAGATGTATAATACTTTCCACTACAATATTACTTATTAAGTGGTGATAAATACACTACTGTAGTATTTATTAAGTGGTGATAAATACACTACAGTAGTATTTATTAAGTGGTGATAAATACACTACAGTAGTATTTATTATGGGTGATAAATACACTACAGTAGTATTTATTAAGTGGTGATAAACACACAACTGTACTGTACTAATTTACTCAGTGTTGATGACAGACATTGTGGTAAGCCGATCAGCTGTTTGCCCTTTGTAAACAAATGACTCATGGTGTTCAGTGTGGGATTCTTTTTTCCCCGAAAGCTGTTTTAGGATAATATTTTAACCTGATACCAAATGATCCTAAATTATATGATAATTGTAGTGGAATTGCATAAAGAAGTGTTAAAGGAGTCTTGTGGGAGAGAGCCATGCTACCCCCCTCCCCTCTGCCAGCTGCTCCACGATATACATTTGTCTTCCACATACAATATACTCCTACACTTATTTGTTCTTATTTTCATCTTTATATTACTGTACAGTTTACAGTTTCTCTTTATTCATAAGAAATTTATGTAAATCTACCCCAAAATACAGTCGAAAAACTTGTACATTATTTAAATGTACTAAACTAATGTACTAAAATTTGTATCTTTTGTGCAAAATATATGACGTTTATATTAAAATTATTCACTGTCTTGCAGGAACCCAACAATGCAAATTATATTCTCCTAACTTTAGTTTGTGATATTATATAAGATAAAAACTTTAAGCCTGAAACCACCAAACCCTGGCTGGGAGGGAGGGGAGATGACATTGACATGTTTGACAGTTGGCACCGAAGGTCTAGTGAAGTATTTATTTGTTTATTTATGTCCTTTAGATTTTTTTTTTTTTTTATAAAATGTCACAAAAAGGACCGGGGAGAATATAATTTACATTGCTGGAATTCTTATAAAATAGTGATTAAATTGAATACACATGCTATAGTTTGCACTAGATAAAAATCTTATTAATCATTCTGTACATTATTTTGAGTACACGTACAGTACAGCTTTGCCCTTAGGACAGTGTGTGCATGTAAATGAGTAGAAATAAATGAATAAAGTTATATTGAGCCAAAAATATTAGTTGAAAAATTTTATGTAGACAGCTTGGATGGCTAAATTTTAGAATGATCAATAATTTTAATACAGTATAAGAAATGCAGAAAATATTTAATTACACAACTTGATTGATAATTACTTCACTGGAAATGAATGTAAACATAGAAACGATTCCTGTATTGAGGACTCAGCCATCATTTGATTGGCTGATGCTCACAACAAAGAGTGTTTCTCCTAAGACTTTCCTTAATCAAAGTTTTGTTCGTTAATGGAATTGAAAATCCTTATGGGAGCTAATCTAACCAAATTTCATTAATTGAACCGTTCGTTAATCGAGGGACCACTGTATATATACAGCCACCCCCACTTACCTAATCCACCCGACTTTTAATGACCACCCGACATACCTAATCACCGGTCGCATTCAAAATTTTTCAAATTCATGATTTTCAACTCCTCGACGCTAGTGATTACAGCGTTACTGAAAATTTTTCGTTTGTAATTCCCTAAAGTGGATGGCAAGCTTAAAAGTGAGAGTTTCTGGTGCTGAGAAGAAAAGAGACACCCATTTTAGATTTTCTATGTATTGCATTTTCGACTCAACCAATTCGACTTAGACCTGGACTTGGGTCCCTAACCCTGTCGTAACGTTTCAGGAGAGAGAGAGAGAGAGAGAGAGAGAGAGAGAGAGAGAGAGAGAGAGAGAGAGAGATATATATATATATATATATATATATATATATATATATATATATATATATATATATATATATATATATATATATATATATATATATATATATATATATATATATATATATATATATATATATATATATATATATATATATATATATATATATATATATATATATATATATATATATATATATATATATATATATATATATATATATATATATATATATATATATATATATATATATATATATATATATATATATATATATATATATATATATATATATATATATATATATATATATATATATATATATATATATATATATATATATAAATATATATATATATATATATATATATATATATATATATATATATATATATATATATATATATATATATATATATATATATATATATATATATATATATATATATATATATATATATATATATATATATATATATATATATATATATATATATATATATATATATATATATATATATATATATATATATATATATATATAGAGAGAGAGAGAGAGAGAGAGAGAGAGAGAGAGAGAGAGAGAGAGAGAGAGAGAGAGAGAGAGAGAGAGAGAGAGAGAGAGAGAGAGAGAGAGAGAGAGAGAGAGAGAGAGAGAGAGAGAGAGAGAGAGAGAGAGAGAGAGAGAGAGAGAGAGAGAGAGAGAGAGAGAGAGAGAGAGAGGAGAGAGAGAGAGAGAGAGAGAGAGAGAGAGAGAGAGAGAGAGAGAGAGAGAGAGAGAGAGAGAGAGAGAGAGAGAGAGAGAGAGAGAGAGAGAGAGAGAGAGAGAGAGAGAGAGAGAGAGAGAGAGAGAGAGAGAGAGAGAGAGAGAGAGAGAGAGAGAGAGAGAGAGAGAGAGAGAGAGAGAGAGAGAGAGAGAGAGAGAGAGAGAGAGAGAGAGAGAGAGAGAGAGATTGGGCCACTCAGATACAAAAGACAAACCTTTCCCAACTAGTTAGGGGAACATATGGGCACGTAGGTGGAGGAGACTGCAGTGGGAGCGGGAAAACAGAGTGAAAGATTACAGAGAAATAGTGCTAGGAATGATGACAAAACAAAATAAGGCAGGGAGTTAAAACCTAAACGCGGATCATGACTAACTTAAATGTTTACTACACAACCAGTAGGAGTATGAGAAACAAAATGGATGATGGCATTGGTATAAAATAAAAATCGATATAATAGCATTCAATCGAAACATGGATAAACCTAGACTCACGTGAGTTACCTGTCGATCACCAAATTGCAGGTTGCAAATTATTCCATACTGATAGGCAGATTAGGAAAGGAGGTGGAGTAGCAATCTATGTCAGGGATAATCTGAAGTGTGAAATAAATGAGGAAATAAAAACTGAACTGAATACAGAAACAATTTGGATAGAATTAATCGATGGTAGGGAAAAAATAATCACAGGAGTAATATATAGGCCTCCTTATCTTGATAAGAGTTAATGATTAACTTATTTGGGATGAAATAAGAGGGCTTCCATACAAGGCAAAGTCTGTATAGTCGGCGACTTTAACTTTCGCCAAATCGATTGGATTGACCTTACGCAGTAACTCAGAATCAGAGGACTTTCTTGAAACAATCCAGGACTGTTTCCTAAGCCCACATATAACCGCACTCCACCGTAATAATATACTGACATTCTGTCAAACAGAGAAAACCCTCATTAGTAATGTCGAGGTAGGGAAACTAACTTGCAAAAGACGATCACAAAGAAGCACGCTTCAAATTAGAATTTCAGGGCAGCCTAAGGAAATTTCCACAAGTCCCAGATTTCAAGGGCAAACTTTGTTAGTTTGAAGAGGCAGCTGAGAGAAGGGCATCATGCTTGGGGGTGAATTACATGACCTCACACCATATACCCACAGAGGGCGACCTCACCTTACCTGAAGACCTGATGGTTGAGGATGACCTGATCACGAGATCTGAGGTTGACGAGTTCCACAACAATTTAAATAATGAGTTACTTAATGCACAAAGGCAGAACATACCATACAGAAAACTCAGATCAAACAACAATGGCCCTAAATGGATAAATAATTATCATAAAGAATATTATTGGACACAGTAAGGCTATAGGTAGGTAGACTAAATCGTGGTGAAATTTACCTCCGAGATTATTACAAAAAGCCTCCTAATAACGACGGTAATGTGTCCTCCAATATTGCAGTGTAAGGTGAATCATTGTATCGCGAATCATTAATTACCATTAAAAAAGAGCAATAATAATGAGATGCATTCCCAAGTGTGACCTTTTCATATCTTTTGTGTTGCTTTTTACTCTCTTTTCCCCCAAAACACTCAAATTAATGAAAAATGCAAACTATATTCTTAAAATAATGTCTATGAATGCACCTTTTACAATATAAATGAATAATAATATGGTCACACAAGAGGAGATGTGACGCCATTGTTTTCGTTAGTGTTTACAGCCGGGAGTCCAGGACGATGGTTCCACGTAAGAAACTGAAAATAAGACCCTGGTTGTAGCTGTAGTAAAATTAATATATAAAAAATGAATATATAAATTTTAAGTAATGTTAATAAATTGGAACACTAGAAGTAGCTAACCCCTAATGGCAAAGAAAAAAAGTGAGACTGATAATGGAATGCCAATGTACCTCCTTGTTTGGTAGCTGCCTACTACCTAAACTTAGTGTGCCCTGAGCAAATTTGTTTAACATGTCATAAAAAACGGGTGTAGTACCAGAATCATGGAGGATAGCGAATGTAATACCGATTTTCAAGAAGGGAGATAGATCACTATCCTCTAACTACCTTCCAATCAGTTTAACAACAATTGTAGGCAAATTGCTGGAAACAATAATTTCAAACTCTATTCGAAATCACCTGGAGAAACACAAGTTGATCAAT